GGGGGGAAGGCGACACACGGGGCTGCATCAAAAGCACCGGAGCTCTGGGGGTGATGCTGGGGGAAGCGGAGCCCGGTATCAGCCATTCATTCCGCTTCCCAAGCGCCACTCGCTTGGAGACAATGTGCTATTCCTATGCTATTTGCTATCATTTTTAAAGGTAGCTTCATGGGCAAACAAGCAAACAAACAAAGAAAAGAATCCAACAAAGATTAGATTGCCTGGGAAGAAAATGCAGCTTTGATAGCCAAGACCAGTGACACTGGTGTCCATAAAGGAGCTGACGTTCACAACATGACTTCAACGTAGCACCCGGTTCTTGTCTCCACTGACCTCGTCCATGCTACTTAGGTCACACTTCACCTTCTACAGAAAGCTTCAGTAAAGGATCAAAGACTGAAATAATCTGAAAGGAAACTGAAGTATTGAACTGAATGGTCCAGGCTGGAACTCAATACAGAACCTGTTTCTGATGGTTTCAGCTGTGCTTGGAGAAATGTCCCTCACCTGATGACCTCCCTTCTGTGCTAGAGAGGTTCCCAGCATGTGTCTCAGTCCAATCTGAGCCTAAATCTCGCTTGTCCCAGGGTCACACCCTGAAAATGAAGGGTAGCCATGTCAATGTAAGGTGCCTGGCTGCCCCAGCTGGCACACAAGCTGGGAAACACAATGGAAGGTGAGGTGAGCTGGAGGTCATGTCCTCTATCTACCTCCTTCACCGGGGGGTTCACGGTAACTAGTTTGGGGCAGTGGATTAGACAGATCAGAGATATCTTCCCTTCCAAAGCATTTCCTGCCTTTAAACATTAAATACGTTGCCAGGTGTGGAATTTCTCCTTCTCCTCCCTCTATTTCCCAGTGGGTTTTACATTATCACCTTGCTGGATATATTATGATAAAGTTTCAAGATCTTTGTGTAATGGTGCACCTGTCACCTCCCACTGAGTATATTCAAACAAAATAGCTGGCTACAGGTTTACAATGGTCCCAATGGAGCAGAACACATAAAACATGCTGTGCATTGCAGATAATAGGAGAAAAATATAAAATAATTGGGCTGTAATTTTATTATTGGACCTCAACACCCCAAACAGACAGACAGACTCGACTGTTTTCAGTAGACTACCTGACTGGGAAGACTGACATTTTGTTAGGGGAGGGAGGGAAATAAATAGAGCTCTCTAGCAATTACAAGGATTGTTTAAGAAAGAAAAAGCCAACTTTCACCATAAACCTAGCGCCACTGAAGGGAGTTTTGCTCTTGATTTCTGTGGAGTTAAGATTTCACCCTGGGGATTTATAGTTTCTGAGTCTGATCAAAGAAGAAGAAAAAATGTGACACTGCTTTGCATGACTATAAATGACATGCGTCCAAATTTGAGTTGGCATTAGGCAGGGGACCCCAACCTTTCTTGGCCTGTAGGCAGCAACATTGATCAGTTAACATGCTCAGACAACATCACACTTTGCTCCCCGAGTCAATCAAGATCCCAGCAGTGATGGCCATAAACATCAGAGAATCCTGCAGGCAGCTCGTAACCATGTGCAAACATAGTTACCATGCAAAACATTAGAGAAATAAAGCTCCACAGTCTGCAGTGTAGTAAACAATGCAGTCACAGGGGGGTTTTCCTGCCCCCACTCCCCAGCAATTCCCACCTCAGATGAGCAGCAAGCATATAGTCCTTCAGAGACAATCCTTACCATGCCACACTCTGCTCTTGGACTCCGTTCTCCCTAAGCTGTCAGGTGGGACGCTGCTATCACATTTTATGTGGATCAGTTTTGTCATGTTTTCAGCTGGTCTTTTTCTTCCTCTACTTGTTTGTATCCAGCTGTTGTAACTGTGTTCCACCTACACCAGAAACTCCTCCATTACTGGTTCCCAGAAAGCGTGGAAACCCAGCAGAAGGTTGTCACCCTTAAAGCAGCATTGCACTGCAGAAAACAATGCCCTTCTTGGGGAAGGAGCTCCAGCATAAAGAGATAATTTCTGTGCCAGGACTCAGGAAGTCAGGATTTCTCTCGTATCCACAAGGGAAAGTAGGGGGGTTGTTACTCTGTACCAGCAGTGAGTTTCTGCTTTGCTTTCCTCACCACGCTGAGGCTCACAAGAGCGTAGCCTGAGTTCCACCAGGGCTTCTCATCCACCTGCTCTAAACACACCACACCTGCCTGCAAAGCACCCATATCGCCTCCATGTCTAGACGCAAAGATGTTGGATGTTCTTTTTTCCCCCAGAAAACAATGGATTCTTTTTTAAATAACTCTATTCTTTCTAATTCTTAATTTACCCTCTTTTCTTGTGAATTTCTCTAGACTTCTTTTCCCCAAGAATTATGCTCTCACGGCCATCATGATGGAGTCTAGCCCCACACAGAACTCACATAACTGGTAACATGACTGACAGACACGCAGAAGAAATATGCCCCGAATAAAAATGCCATCGTGTTTGTTTTGCTGTCTTTGTTAGGGCAAATTCTTTACCTTCTGAGACACTTGTGACCACTGAGATGAGAGAATGATGCACAGAAGTCTGTTGTCTGATAGCTATCCCCTCTTCCTCTGTCAGATTGTTTTTCCAGATATAATTGTATTAGAAATTAATATGAATCATTTATACCGTATTTAAATCATATGTGATTGGATGACTGGAAGCAGAGTACTTCCAGTGGGAAGATGGTGCAGTGAGGGCTTGTTTTATTCAGGCAGTCACAGCATATTGAGTGAATATGCAGAGTAGAAATCAGAGCAGATTGATTTTTTGCTAACTCAGTATTCACTTTCTGTAACTGTCCATTCCTACTTGACCATTTCCGTGACTATTTCTGACTAAACACCATGCTTGTTGGGTTATTCAGGATAAGTCTAAGCACCCCACTGGATTTTTCCTGCTCAACCTTTATGCTCTCTTTGTGTTTATCCTCATGAAGATGTTTCACTGGTGTGAAACACAGAAGCCCTTTGCCTTCATTTATAGTGAGTGGTGATTAACCACATGCTGGGTGAAACTCCTTGTGGAGAAACCTTCATGGCAACTCCTTTACAAATGAAAATGACCCTCTTTAGAATGAGCTGGTAGTTTTCAAAACCCATCAAGTTCATCTTTGTCCCGAGTTGAAGAGGCTCCAAATCAGTTTTGTCATGTTTTCAGCTGGTCTTTTTCTTCCTCTACTTGTTTGTATCCAGCTGTTGTAACTGTGTTCCACCTACACCAGAAACTCCTCCATTACTGGTTCCCAGAAAGCGTGGAAACCCAGCAGAAGGTTGTCACCCTTAAAGCAGCATTGCACTGCAGAAAACAATGCCCTTCTTGGGGAAGGAGCTCCAGCATAAAGAGATAATTTCTGTGCCAGGACTCAGGAAGTCAGGATTTCTCTCGTATCCACAAGGGAAAGTAGGGGGGTTGTTACTCTGTACCAGCAGTGAGTTTCTGCTTTGCTTTCCTCACCACGCTGAGGCTCACAAGAGCGTAGCCTGAGTTCCACCAGGGCTTCTCATCCACCTGCTCTAAACACACCACACCTGCCTGCAAAGCACCCATATCGCCTCCATGTCTAGACGCAAAGATGTTGGATGTTCTTTTTTCCCCCAGAAAACAATGGATTCTTTTTTAAATAACTCTATTCTTTCTAATTCTTAATTTACCCTCTTTTCTTGTGAATTTCTCTAGACTTCTTTTCCCCAAGAATTATGCTCTCACGGCCATCATGATGGAGTCTAGCCCCACACAGAACTCACATAACTGGTAACATGACTGACAGACACGCAGAAGAAATATGCCCCGAATAAAAATGCCATCGTGTTTGTTTTGCTGTCTTTGTTAGGGCAAATTCTTTACCTTCTGAGACACTTGTGACCACTGAGATGAGAGAATGATGCACAGAAGTCTGTTGTCTGATAGCTATCCCCTCTTCCTCTGTCAGATTGTTTTTCCAGATATAATTGTATTAGAAATTAATATGAATCATTTATACCGTATTTAAATCATATGTGATTGGATGACTGGAAGCAGAGTACTTCCAGTGGGAAGATGGTGCAGTGAGGGCTTGTTTCATTCAGGCAGTCACAGCATATTGAGTGAATATGCAGAGTAGAAATCAGAGCAGATTGATTTTTTGCTAACTCAGTATTCACTTTCTGTAACTGTCCATTCCTACTTGACCATTTCCGTGACTATTTCTGACTAAACACCATGCTTGTTGGGTTATTCAGGATAAGTCTAAGCACCCCACTGGATTTTTCCTGCTCAACCTTTATGCTCTCTTTGTGTTTATCCTCATGAAGATGTTTCACTGGTGTGAAACACAGAAGCCCTTTGCCTTCATTTATAGTGAGTGGTGATTAACCACATGCTGGGTGAAACTCCTTGTGGAGAAACCTTCATGGCAACTCCTTTACAAATGAAAATGACCCTCTTTAGAATGAGCTGG